TTTTTTTTTTTTTGTGGAACCGGGAATTGAACTCAGGCCCTTGCACTTGCCAGGGAAGCGCTTATTCCACTGAGCCATCTCCCCGGCCCTACAGCTGGTTCTTGAAGAGACTTTCTATTTGTCTTCCTTCTGTGTTACTTATTCAAAAATGCCACTCTCCATTCATAAGTACTTAGTGTGCATTCACTTTACCTTAGTTAAGACTTACACCAGAGGTTCTAGCTGCAGGAAGAAGATAGAGCCAGTTCTGTTCCAATGGGACATTCAGCAAGGTAAAGAAATAACCCAATGGGTAGACCTGACACCCACCCCCTAGTTTAATTTAGGACTTCAAAGAAAACTAACCCATTTGATAAAACTGGAAAAACTTAGAAATCATTATAAACCTCTAATTCCAGTCCTACTCAAGCCCTTTTAATCTCCTAAAGGCAGTAGATATAATGGAGACCATATTAGAAACTGTAGACAGACTGTGGTTCAAATCCTGCCTCTGACTTTTACTAGCTGTGTAACTTGAGATAAATCACTTAAATTTCTTAACTTTGAAGCAGTAGGATTGAACATGAAGTCTATAGTAAGTTTAACCTGAAGTTTCTTTGCTGATCACCACCTCATTGCAGGGATAATGATGGAAAAGTAGATTTCAGATTACCATGTGCAGAAGTTCTTGACAAATAAAACCTTTTATAGAAAAGAAATAGACCCAATGAAGCTTCTCTGGATTTTTGAGATTCCTAATATTTAGATAACTATTTTAGTTTCCTTAGATTTCTATGGACCCCATTTCACTAGTTCTGTCATTTAATTTTGTTTTGACTAGGCCTAAGTCACCACCCCAATGTCATCCAAGGAACAGTACATCCAGACTGTTACAGGCCTCTCAGCCCACCCCATGGTAGCTTAGCTCAGTGCTTAATATGTCCTTGTCCCTTTCTCCATTAAATACCCTCCACTCCTATGTTCCAGTCTTTTTTTCCTTTCTGGCTTATTGGCATACTAGATGCTATTGGACTGAGATTTGAGTAGCTTTAAATGTGTGTATTATCCACCCTGAATAATTTAAGTATTAATAAAATTAAATCCCTTATAGAAAGCCGAGCATGGTGATACATGCCTGTAATCCCTGCTTGAGGCAAAGGATGGCCACGCATCTGAGGCCAGTCTGGGCTCATTGTGTTCAAGACTATGTACAGGGGCTGGCGAGATAGCTCAGTGGTCTAAAGCATCTACTTAGGCAAGTTTAGGCAGGCACAGGGGACTACAGTTTGATCCCCAGCACATGTCATACCCTAAGGTGGGCTGAACCAGCAAAAAAAAAAAAAAAGACTATATATACATGGTGAGAGCCTATCTCAAAAAAAAGTTAAATTTGGTAAAAGATTTAGGCAAAGGACACAAACCAGTATAATCTGAAACCTTTTGTCACCAAATGTTTTGTTTTGTTTTAGTCCATGGTAATAGAGGGGGATCTTCCATAAGGCAAAAGAGGAGTTGTGTCAGGAGACTAAATCCAGAAGACAGTACTAAAACAAGGTTATTTCAGAGGAAGAGATACTGTCCTAGTCATTTTTCCTTTAGACACAGACATCGAGTTTGGGATGAATGTTTGAACAAAGTAGAGTGGGAGTGGGATGGATGTGTCACCATGACACATCTTTGATCTGTGTTGTAAGTTCCAGGCCTCTGGTACTTTTTTGTCATTGATTGAAGCAGAAGGACTACAGGATAACCTTAAAAATACAGCTTTCAGTCAGTGGCCTGTTGATTTTCAACCCAGATGTGGTACTTTTAATGACTCTCTACTTCAGATTCTTAGTCTCTGGGCCCTGCTTATGATAATCTAAATCTCCTTTTTTTTTTTTTTTAACCTTTAGTTTTTCCCTGCTGTTAGGGGAAGACAGAAATTCTCTTGTTCTTTGTGGGGTTGTCTTTTCCTGTCTTCATCATAGACATATGGGACAAATGGATCAACGATGTCTTTGCATTTCCGTCATTGTTTCTGATTCTGTATGTCATGTCCCTGGTTCAGTTGTTATTTCTGAGCGTTTCAATCTATTTTGTTCAGTCAGCTTTTCTAAGGTAATACTCTGTATTCTAACTTAAATATCAAAAACCTGAGAAACTTTAGAAATGGCTTTGGTTTTATTAACAATGGAATTGCAGTGGGTTGGCGTGGGCAGTACTTATAGGCTAAATAAAGCTGCTGGGAAACTATATGCTAAGAGGCCTTTCCTCCCTCTTCATAGCAACTTTATCTGGAAGATGAAGCGTTTTGCTGTGGTATACTTAATAAAAAAGTTCAGCTCCTGTTCAGAGCTGTGTATCTGTCATTATCCGCTTACCTTTATCCATCTCATCTTTTGACTTTTTTGTTCTTGTCTTCCAGGTGGCATTGGCAGGGTGGTCAATGGAGCCTTCATGGTGCTGAAAGGGCATCGATCTATTGTTAACCAGGTCCGATTTAATCCCCACACCTACATGATCTGCTCTTCTGGTGTAGAAAAGATTATTAAGGTGAGACACCTTCCCCTTTTATCCTTTAAAAAAACTATTACAGTTCATAATCAGGAGAAATTGTAACAATGTATGTAGGACTTCATATCTAAACATACTAAAGGTCTATTAAAATTTTTAATGATTTTGATATATCAAAAAATATTGGGAAGTTGATATTAGAAAGTGATAATAAACTTCTTCAGACCTGTTTTTTGTATTTTAGTACAGGGTCTACAGGGTCTCATTACATAGATCAGACTTGTAGTAATCTGCTTGTGTTCAGCCTCCCTACGGCTGTGCACCACCACTCCCAGTCTCAATCACTGTCGCAGCATGCCCTAGGGGTGGGACCAGCATATGGCACACTGGAAATCAAACCCCGGCCTCTGCATTTTCAGACCTGTTTTGTTGTATTGTTTTGTTTTGTTTTGTTTGGTACCAGCAATCAGATTCAGAGTCTCATGCTTGCCAGGTAGGTGCTATGCCACTGAGCCATAACCCCTGGCCCTCAGAACTATTTTTAATATACTTATTAAGAAATCTGGGGCTGAGGAGATAGCTAAGCACCTGCCTGGCAAGCACAAGGACCCAGGTTGGATCCCCAGTACTGCATTCCATGCCAGCCACCTAAACCAGGGACGGTGGCGCACAACTGTAATCCCAGTGCTGGGAGGCTGAGACATGAGGATGACTAAGAGTCTGAGCTGCATAGTAAAACCCTGTAATTGATTGATTGATTGATTGATTGATTAGAAAAGTTTATACATTTCACATATATCTATTTTTTCATTAGAAGTACTGTTTATACATTTATGTGTCCCACAATTCCACAGAAAAATGTAAATGGCTTTTCTTTTACTTGTTGTGAATAAATTACATATACATGAATACATTTCAATATCTTATAAATATATGCTTACATAATTTAGCGTATATATATTCTGTCAATACCTCTTTGATTGTGTACATAGGTAACTACAGATGTGGCTGTATGAGAGAGGCCATTCAGGTCTCAGCTCAATGACGTTACAAATCTATTTGAATCTCCCAGGGCAGCTGGTCTAAAGTCCCATTGCTTCTTCGTAGCCTCGAACTAGAACTTTAGAACCATTTAAAAGCCAATTATGGGGCTGGTGAGATGGCTCAGTGGTCTAAAGCACCTACTCGGAACAAGCTTGGCAAAGCAGAGAGACCACAGTTCAATCCCCCAGCACCACATGCCAGCCAGCCCCGCCCCCTGGTGGGCTGAACTGAACACACACACACACACACACACACACACACAAATAAAAAATAAATAAAAATATTTTTTAAAAAAAAGCCAATTACATCAGGAAAAAGGAAGAGAAAACAAAAATCACCAGGCTTTGAAACAGATGATGGCTTCTAACTACGCTGTATGCTGTTAAATTTGCAGTGGCCTTTGATCTTCAGTATGATGACTTCTGCCTTCTAACCCTTACCTGGAACCACTATCCCTTTTTATACATTGCCCCTCTGTATGTTAATTGTTGTCCTAATATGTCATAGGTATAACCAGTGATTAAAAGATAACAAATGATTCTCAGAACCATGGCTACATTGTCTCAGGATATTTTTTAAAAACCTGTATGTAGTTGAGATTGAGACTACTTGGATGTGAATATTAAACATAGCAAGTGCATGTCAGTTGAATAAACTTACCTTGGCCAAGGAATATTTTTATAGCTGCAAGAGAGAGGGACCTTCCCACCAGTATCCACATGGAGATAGTCCATTGCCCATCACTCAGATCCAGTTGTTCATAAGCCTTTATCCACATCTGAGGAACTGGGTATAGAAAAATGAATTCTATATGAGGACCTTGTGATAACTTTTTTTTTTTTTTTTTTTTTTTTTTTTTTTTTTTTTTTTTAGGGGAGGGTTTACAGGGTGTTCAGGGTCTCACTACTAGATTGGACTCATGGTGATCCACCTGTTTACAGTCTCCCAAGAGCTAGGATTACAGCCACGCACCACCATGCCCAGTCTCAGTCATCTTCCCAGCACGCCCTAGGGGCAGGGCTGGCACAGTAGGCCTAGGGATCAAACCCCTGGCCCCTGCGCCTGCATACAGGTGCTTTAATCCGCTAAGATAACTGGCCAGCCTGATAACTTGACTTTTAAGTAAGGATAAATTATATTCTTCCCCAGAATGTTAAAATTCCTTATTTTTTTTTTTTTCTTAAAATGAGAGAAGATTCAAAAGGAAAGTAACCTCAGAGAAATTTGAGAGAAAAACTAAAAACTGGCTTGTGTTGTCTTAGTTAAATCAAGTTGTATTTGATGATAGGAAAGAACTATCAAGAATAAAATATTGAACCTGGCATGGTTGCTCACATCTGTAATTCCAGCTGTTTGGAAAGCTATGGAAAGAAGACAGCAAATCTAGGCCACCTAGAGAGATCCTGTCCCAAAATAAGAAGGACTGAGAATGCAGCTCAGTGGCAGAGTATCCCTGGGTTTGGCCCCCTGCGTCACACACAAAAGGAAGGGAGTAAAATATTGATGCCAAGGTCAGTGGTGCATACCTCTAACCTCAGCTCCTCAGTAGTCTTGCACCTGGCCTTGGCAACATTATGAGGACCCCCCATTTCAAACAGGGGGGCTAGAACATTAGTTTGTGGGTATTTTTATTTGCCTTTAGTCCAACTTCCTCTATTTAAGCTTGTTAGTTCTAAAGAGCAGGGCTAACTTTCATGGCTGCACTTGTTTCCCCAGAGGGACAAATACAACTTTCAGAATATTTTTACCAACTTTTCACAGTTGATGAAATTTAAATGATAAGTTAACTGTTGGGGGTCACAGAGAACCCTGTCTGTTGTGTCACCACATCACCATGCTAGTGCAAGGGCAGTGGATAGCCTGACTTGATCATTTCTGTATCCTTCGCTCTCTGGCCTGTGACTAATGGGTTGGCACTGTAGTGTGTCCTTTCTAGGCCCGCTGACGTCATTCTCTTTCTCAGAGAGTTCTCTGCTTGAGCATCTCCTTTAGAAGAGAAATTCTTCTATGACTGCTCATCCTGGGATACTTCTGTGCTGTTTCCCCAATTACTGTTTAGTCAACTGAAGTCCTTACCCTAAAGGTCATAGGCTGGAAACTAGCCAAGTTCTTAAGAAAGAAGAAAATATTTTCTCTGTGAGGTTATCCAGACAGCTCTGTGGAGCTTACTGCTCTGGGTTCCCATAGGAACCAACAGGCATATTTAGCCATTTGAAACTTAAGTCTGTGCAGATGACCATAATAAGAGGGAAAGCAAAAAGCTTTGAAGTTCCCAGCTTTGCTGTCTCACAGGTATCTTCCCCATTCACTATCTAGTTGGGAATTATGTAGCATTAAAAGCATTGCCAGTGCCAGGCATGATGGTACATAACTATGATTCCAGTGCTGTGGGAGGCTAATACAGGGGGTCATGAGGTTGAGGCCAGCCTGGACAGCATTATATCTCAAAATACCAAAAATCATTGTAGGAGGACTAGAAAGGAGACAGATGAGTTTAAGTGCAGTGCTGACCCCATCTGTCTACTGGAATTCCTGCCCTTGCCTGTGCCTGTATCATCCTGAAAAGCCATTGAGTTTTTATCACACTGGACTGTCTACCATCTATAAAGTGAGGACTTGCTACCCAGGAGTGCCATGGGAATTACTTGGCCTGACAGTTATTTTAATAAATGTCACCTTTCTGCTTGCTGCTTGAGAAAGTTAGTGGCTCAAAGAGTATCAATAGTACCATGTTCTGATCCAGCTGAAGACCTGATTTTCACTGTCTACCCTCCTTTCCTGCTCTTAATTCTTCATTGCCACCTTTTAGCCTTAAGAACCTATGGTTGTGTTTTTTTTTCGGAACTGGGGATTGAACTCGGGCCCTTGCGCTTGCCAGGGAAGCGCTTATTCCACTGAGCCATCTCCCCAGCCAAGAACCTGTGTTAAGGGGGCCAGGGAGATGACTCAGTAGAATAAGCGCTTGTCTGGCAAGCACAAGGGCCTGAGTTCAATCCTCGGTTCCGCCAAAAAAAACCCTGTTTTAAGGACCCGGGGAGATAGCTCAGTAGGATAAGCACTTGCCTGGTGAGTGCAAGGTCCTGAGTTCAATCCCCGGTACTGAAAAAATAAATAAAAATAAAATAGAACCAGCCTCTTCACCCATAACAGGTCTTTTAGATCTCTACACTTAGCAAAAAGATTGGGTTTGTTTTATAGTTAAACATGAGGTAAATTGTAGCATTTTGCTCCATATATGTGATATATGCCATTTGTGCTAGACCTGTGGGGAGTGTGAAGATAAAAGCAATACAGTTCTCCCTATGAATTGATGACCCAGGAGAACAGGCAAGAAATAAAGTTACTGAGAAATGAAGTGGATACACAGGAGATACAAAGTACTGTGAAGGAAGGAGAGATTTTTCTCATTGCGGTAATTTCTGTATCGGTTAATATTTGAGCTCAATGTTGATGAGTAGATAAACTTCAAAAGAAGGAAGGACAGAAGGTGAGAAGTACATTCTGGGCACAGTGAATGGGTATTTATTTCATTGGATCCACAAGTATTTAATCACCACCTACTGTGTGCCAGGTGTTGTGATTATGAATAAATGCTTGGAAAAGCTGCTTTAGAGAGAGTAGCACACTCTCAAATAGCAGTTTAGGATCTTATCTGTGCATATTTCCTTGGTGGATGGGCAAACTCTGCATGTGGTGTAATAGTACAGCAGAGCAAAAGAGGCTTAGAACTATTGCCTCAAGCATGTCTGACCTGGTCACTGGGTAATGCAAACACGTGACACCTAATTTCCATCCCTTTGGATAATACTTGAATAAGAATTGAACTTCATCTTTTTCCTCAGCAGCCCTTGAGCTAAACTCTTTACTAGGCTTAGAGAGAAAGCTGTTTATACCTCTTCCTTTTCTGAGAGCCTTATCCAGGAGGCAGACCTAGGCACATTTAATAGGTGACAGAAAGTTGCTTTCTGTTGTTTTGTGTTGTGTTTTTGTGATAC